GGCACTCGTTGCAACATAATTTATTTGCAGTAAGTAATTAGTGTTCATCGTTCGGAATACGTCAACGTGTAGAGCACACAAAGTATTTTAGAAATACTGAGGACGTATTTTTCAATATGGCCAAACTGTAGAACAATGTCAAAAGCATAAAATATGTAAAAACTTGTGTAATAGTCAGCGCTACAACACAATTTTTCTTTCATCACTAAAAATTTTGGACAATATTTCGACACTATTATAGCAATAAAGATTTTCAGTTTACGCATTTTACTTTCGTGATTATCTGCTGCGATAAAAATAGCCAAGTATTGAAAATATGAGTACTAATGTGAAACAACGGAATATTGCTTTCAGCATTACCTGTTTTAAAAGCTCTTCGCCATGTAACAGCCTGATTGATGCTTCGTTTCATTTTTCATCATGTTAATTCACCTCTTCCTGGAAGCAGGCAACTTTGAGCCTTAGTGCGGAAGACTCATGACCAGACAAATCACAATGCTTTCATCTTTATCTTCATCTTCCATGACCCTTTTTCCTTTTGAGTCTTGGAGGCAGACGCTTCAGCACCAACACTGGCGTGAGCGCACCTCATGACATCAACACCTGAATAGATTATCTTCCACTCGCAGAGGTTCAGGATTCCACAGCCTTGGAGCTTCGTTGACGAGAGTCCAACCATGTCGAGTTGGTACCTTGCGGACTCATCAACTAGCTCCTGCACTTTCCTTCTAATGAACAAACGTTCCAATTTGCGACTTAAGCTCCCACTGTCGGTATCGTTCTCATGGAACATCAGCAGACTTGCTATGATGTCACCAAGCTGTTTGCCACTTCGTTTCAAAAATGGCAGTGGCACCGCACTACTTTGTCGTCGTTTTGTCAATCGGCAGCCGTTATCATCGTGCTACGTTACCGGCTGCCAGAAGGCGATGGGTAGGTTCTGATCGCCGACTTACCGCAGTCAGCTTCAGTTCCCCAACAGCTTGCGCGACCCTTGGTAACCCG